CTCCCCAATCCATCTCCATCTAGCATAGAATCACCCAAATCATCAACCCTGCCTGCAATAGGCTCAGAAATCCAACCCAGCTCCTCCCCAACCGATGACGTCTGAACCGATGAAGAGAAATCAGACAGAAACCCATCATTCCCCAAGAAATCCACATCAAAACAACAATCTACACTGGCCATCCCATCCCTTTCTGATAACCCAAAAAGATCAACTTCGGCCATCCCATCCCTTTCTGACAGCCCAACAACCCCACATCCATTCGAATCCGAGTCAACCACCTCATCCTCAAACCCCACCTCTACCACAAGTGAAAGCAACCGAGACTTCACTAAAAACCCTTCACCCCCCCCCCCCCCCCCCCCCCCCCCCCCAAGGAGTAAAAGGAGGACCAGAAAGAGAGCTCCGAGAGTCGAAAATAGGATACATACCAAGTTCAAGGTCTCTGTCCTTGCGAGCCACCCGTTTCTATTTTTGCTTATTGGTCCATATTTTGCCAGCGTGTTTAATCATAAATGAATTCTTTTGATAATCAGTCTTATCCGACGAGTCACAGTCCTCTGAAACATCATTGCAACTTCCGGTGAGCAACGGACCAAAGCTGTTCCCAAACATCAACTTTTTGCAGCACTCAGCGTGACGGAATCTCTTAGTCTTCAACCCATCTCCCTGAAAGGACTCACCCACCTTTACCCAGCAATCTTTCTCCCTTTGAGACCAATGCTTAACCACAGGCTTCATTGTCGAGGAACCCTTGAACTGTGAAGGAGATGGATCTGTAGACTTGGCCTGCTGAATGTAAATGGACTCCTTAGCAACCAGTGGGTTAGACTGGTTCCGCTTAAAAGAGACAATAAGTCCCTTATTCGGTCCCAAACCACCACCCTATCCCCTCTAAACTTGCCCAATCTGGGCGCAGACTTAAAATGAGGAAGCCCAACCGACGATCTTAACCCAAGTGAGTTTGGCTTATACTGAGGCCCAACTATAACATTTAATCCCTGACGTCCATAGTGTGGCCCCAGGTCCAGGCCCATCCTTATCAAAATTCAAATGTCCCACTCGCTCACATGCATGATCACGTACGCTCACAGCTGTCTCGCACCGACAATGGGAAGGCCATGAACACCAACTACGTGTCTCACCCTAGATCTGCTCACCCCACTCTCCTTCGGCACGTGCATCCCCCTACGTCCCTGTACTTGGGAAAGACCACCGTGACAATCCATAAACTGCTCCTCTGGTGGAGCACAAAAACCACCTCCAGGACATTGTACCGCTCAATCCTTCCTATTCAAAATCACTTGGGGTCTCCTCCTTTCACTCACATTGAAAGAAATCGAAGTCGGTACAAGAGAAGGGCAGATCTCTTTTATCAACGAAAGTTTGAAAGCCCACCGCCTGTCTTCCACGATGACAAACTCCGGGATCTCACCTCCCTCAAGCACAGTGATGACGATTCTCTCTGTATCACTCAATTCGTAAGCCTCAACATCCCAAAAACCTCCGTAGAGGTCACCAATGGCAACAAACAGCTTCTGACACCAAAGATGCAAAGGAAGACCATACAAGATAACACGCCGGTGCATGGTCTTCAACCTCAGCCCAGAACACCCAACCCGATAGCACCACAAATCAATAAACAACTGTGCATCGCCCCAAACTTTCTTACCCTTCTTCAAAACCTTCTGAGCTTCCAAAGCCGATGGGAATCTGAACAAAAGCAACCCATTTGCCAGAGCGAAAACCCTAACCCCACACAGAATTCTCCATGTCTTCGAAGCCCACCTCTCAATATCAGTCACAGATCCCACGTCTCTGTCAAATCATCTAAGAAGGCAAGACTTGAGCATGGCCTCACGACTATCAGTGTTGTGGTTATCCACCCTAAGAACAGGCCCTCCCTTTGTAACATCACATTCCACATCCCCTTTTAGATCCAATCGAGGAAGCCTTGCAACCTCAAGAAACGACCTTCCATGACCATCCAGAGAACCCATAGACGAACACAAGCGAGAAGAGAAAAAGAAAAGGGACGATAACAGAGGATTTCACCGGAATATATGATTCCGGTGACTGGAAGGAACAGTAGGCTCAGACCGCATCTCTGATATCCACATCTTCAACTCAATCTTGAATACTTGTGAAGGTAAAGTAGTCATTGAGCAATCCCTTCAATGATTGTGCAAATTAAGGTAATCGACAGAAGTTTCAATGGTTGGCAAAAACCTAGGTCACATACAACTAGCACAAGATTGTCAGCAATAAACCTCAAGGTGCTTATATACTGTGTGATGTATATCAAAGTGGCTTTTTTGGCGTGGACTTCGTTGTTAGGGAAGATCTTAACCCAGGACAACTTAAGAAGGAGAAGACAGGTAGTGGTCAATTGGTGTTACATGTGTAAGAGAGATGAGGTAACTGTTGATCACCTTCTTTTGCATTGCCCCGTGGCTTGGGATTGCTAGGTCTTACTGTTGAGTTTGTTTGGGGTTCAGTGGGTTATGCCCAGAAATTTGATTAAGGCTTGGCGAGGTTGTATAGTGGGGGCCCAAGTCCGTGATTTTTGGAGAGTTACGCCTCTTTGCATCTGGTGGTGTTTATAGCCTGAAAGAAATAGGAGGTCCTTTGAAGGAAAGGAGACTCCTATAGGGGAGTTCAAATTCTCTATTATTAGCAATCATTTTTGTTGGGTTATAGGGAGATATTGTAAATCCATGGAAGAGATAATTGATTTTTTGGACTCTCTGAGAGTTTAGAGGCCTTATTAGGCCTTGTCTATTTTCTGAGGGATGCGTTCCCCTTTTGAACGCTTCTTTATACAATATTTACTTATCAAAAAAAAAAAAAAAAATGCATACAAACCAATAACTTTATGTCTCAACATGGCCAGCTACTATGTTACCCGGACTCGGGTACAGGTGTCGGACATGGGTACATGTCTAGAGGTCGGATCCATCTATCTATCAAATTATTGGACATGGTCGGATCCATCTATCTATCAAATTATTGGACACGGGGACACGAATTTAAAGTGTCCAAAAATCAGACACGGACACTTGGACACCGCATGCAAAGTATTCTCACAATGTTAAAATGCATATAAAACTTTGTTCTTGTTCCATAGTTTGAAAAGAGACTGAATTTGTCAGTTAACTGTGAAAGTAACTAGGTAACTAGGTTAAAATAAATTGAAATCCTTTACAAAGTAATAGTAGTAATATATAATATATATATAGATGGTGGGTTACAACTGCAACCAACATATTATAAGTTTATATAATATTATATTATTTGTAATAAACAGTTTAATAAGTAGTGGACCACGAGTTACAGCGAGTTACAGCTTATAGTGAGCTGTAACTCATTTTTATTACAAACTTATATGGGTTACAGCCTACCCATGTGTACCATGTCAGACAAAAAGAACTGAAAAACAAAGAAAGGTACACGCGGTGAAGATTCAACGCAGAAAAGTGGGGGCGCTGATACCAAGTCTTCTTCAACCTTTCCTTTCTAAACCCTATTTCGAACCATTCATAACCAGACAACCATAACCATACCTTGAGCTGCCTAAACAGATGAAGACTGGGCAGCCGTGTCCGACAGAAAAGATGGGAGAGTCCGACACATATCCTGTGTCCGTGTCGCGTCGACATGGACACTATCGCCGGAACCGGCGAGTCCAAGTAACATAGGCCATCTATCATAATTTTGTGAATCATCAAGTTTGCAACCTCTTGGAATTGACCAATGATTTCTCAGTAACATAGCCAAGAGCTTTGACATTACCATTTGGATATACAAAAATAATAATAATAATAATGCCAATAAGTGCATGCTCACCAGACTCCAAACCATCTGACACAGACCATAAGTAACACAATTACAAACCTGTAAAAACTGTGCAAACTTATTTGACACAATTCTTTGCAGCATTGTATTTGGGTAAAAAATAATAATAATAATAATTATTATTATTATATTCTTTTTAAGTAGGCATGCAAACTAAAACACTAAGGCAAAATTATCTTCTTTCCCCAGACTTTTCAGGATTGCTATGTTCAGGCGCGCCTTAGTGTTTGACTGCTATCACCTTGATAGTGGGAGAACGTCCTGGGATATGCGCTTTGTGAGGAATTTTCAGGGTTTGGGGATTGAGGACGTTGTTGGTATTTTGGAGTTGCTTTATCACCAAGAGATTGTGGATGGTGCTCCTGATTCGATGGTGTGGGTTCATTCTTCCCAGGGCCGCTTTGAGTTTCGGTCTTTCTATAGGTGTCTTACGAAGGTTCCTGGGGTTCCGTTCCCGTGGAAGGCTATTTGGCGTTCTAAGACCCATCTCAAAGTGGCTTTCTTTGCTTGGACATCTGTTTTGGGAAGATTTCAACCCAAAAAAATCTGAAGAGGAGGAGACAGGACGTCGTTAATTGTTGTAGCATGTGCTTGAGAAATGAGGAAACGGTGAACCATCTTCTTTTGCATTGCCCTATAGCTTGGGATTGTTGGGTTTTGATGTTGGGTTTGATCCATGCCCAAGTCTTCCAGAGGCGTGGTTGAGGCTTGGAGAGGTTGTACAGTGAGAGACAGCTCATGATTTATGGAGGGTCACGCCTTTGAGCGTTTGGTGGTGTTTGTGGCTTGAAAGAAATAGGAGATCCTTTGAAGGAAAGAAGACCACTGTTGCTGCACTGAAGTTCTCCATTATTAACACTCTTTCTTTGTTGGGTTAAAGGAAGAAATTGTAAATACTTGGGATGATATTGTTGATTTTTTGGACTCTTGAGAGTTTAGAGGTCCTATTTGGCTTTGTGTAGCTTTTGAGAGATGTGTTTCCCTTTTGAACGTTTTTTAATACATTTGTACTTATCAAAAAAAAAGTTAATAACAATAAAAATCATAATTACAGTTGAGTTCACTAGAATTTCCAGAAGCACTAAACAGCATATAATAAGACACAAAATTCACATAGAAAATACTAGCAACGGATCAAGTGATACCTCTACTTCTGCAGAAGTATATTCTGGATCCAAATTTCGAAGCAAGACAAGTGTTCCTCGCTCATGAGCATTTTGTATTCTTTCCTCCCAAGGCTGAAATGATTTTGATGAAAACAAACATTAAATGAAAAGCTAATAAATGAAAACTAGCACCAGAGATGTCCACATTATGAGAGATTTTAAATACATGACCCAAAAAAATCTTTGCTGGCCCATATATCTAAACTGCAGCAAACTTTTGCAACAAGAAAAAAAAGGTTCAACCTCAACTCAATTGAGGTACCCAAACCACAGTTTAAAATTCACCAGCTTTATGCAACTAATTACCAACGCTAAATAGCAAGTAATTCAAGATTCACTGGACTCCAACTAAAATTATACATCAAAATAGAATACTAATTACATTGAAATCAAATATATGTGATGCTACTGCCGTTGGACGAAAAAGTGGTTTATATTTTTTTTATATATAACTGTATCAGGATATAGAATAATAGTGTTGGCAATGTCAGTGTTCCAATCTATATGTTGACTTTAAGAGATAATCAAATCAAGACTGAAGTATAAGAAGAAAAAGAGAAGAAAGAGGATGAGAGAAAAAGAGAGTGATGGGGAAAGAGAGAGAGAATGAAAGAAAACTTTCATCCTTCCCCCACATTCTTATTTATACTAACAAGTTTCATAAATTACACACAAGCACCCAACATTGAAAATAAATGTAATCTAAGGCTAGTATTTTGTCCAGCAGAATAAAGAGATAAAAAATGACAAAAGAGTCCTTAAGTGAGTCAGAATACTAGCCTTTAGATTACATTTATTTGATGGGCTAGGATTATATCTTTGCTGGGGCATCACTTGTGCCTTATACAAGGGTTGTTCCAAGTTGTAATCAGCAGTTTTTGACAAATTTTCAATATAATCAGCCTCATACAGAAACGTTTACATCTCCCTTTCTTTTGGGATTGAATTGTGGGTGTTTAAGCTATTATTTTAGCTTAAATTAGCTTTCTATTTTTCCTTCTTCAGATTTATTTTCATTCTTTCATAACTGATGCATTAGTTGGTATCAAAGCAAGTTCTGGTCCAGTGGTTTTGTGTTGGGATATTAGATCTCTCTCTTAGGTTTTGCAACACGCCACCAAGGAGAAGAAATCCACTTCACAGACCAGCTGTTCAGCCTCATCAGGACGCAGTTGTTGATCAACAACAAGTGCTTGCCGTTATAGAAGATCTAAGAAGGTAGATTGAAGCTTTAGCCCTGCATGTTGGGCAAACCCCAACCCCTTCTCAAAATGGCATCGAATCTGAGGAGGATAATCTGGAAGAGGATTTAGTTAATCCTTTATTCGGAAACGCAGCACCGAGACCAGCACTTGTTCCATTTGAAGAAAGGTGTTGCGAAGGTTGCTTTAAGGTGAAAATTCCAGAATTTGTAGGATATCTTGGTGGAGAAGAAGAACAACCACAAGAAGAGGAACCTATTTATGATAAGGATGACAAGTCCAAAGAGAACACTTCCGTCAATCATGAGAAGCCACAGTTAGAAAGTTTCTATCACGATTCTGAGAATGATTCAACAGATGATGAATCATGGTTGTTCATAACATCAACTACCATAGAACCATTTTTTGACTGGAGTAAGCCTACATTTTTTAATGAAGAACCACATACATATTGAATCTATGGATTGGGATCAATTAGTGTTAGCAGATATGATAGCCACGATTTATGGAATGACTTACCGAATTAGCAGATATTTGATTATGCTGTAGAATATGCCATAGAATATGCTATATAATATATCATAGAATATGATGTGATTTGATTTAGATTTAAATTTAGATTTAATTTAATTTCCTTTCTAGTAATATGAACATGTGCTCTTTTACCTATAACTACTAGAGATGTGAATGAGTGAATATCTCATTCAAGCCTTTACACAATACTCTCATTTTTCTTCTTTTTATATTTCTACTTGGTATCAAAGCCGGAGTGGTCCGACTGCAATGAGGGCATTGCGAGTTTGGCACCACCCATTTGCGAATGGTCTAAGGTGACATCGCCCATCCGGGAGTTGTTGGGCAGGCAAAGTGGTCTGACCTCAATGAGGGCGTTGCGAGTTTGGCACCACCTATTCAGAAATGGTCTGAGGAGACAGTTGTTTCTTTTTATGGTCTGAGGAGACATTGTTGATTCTATCATCTACATTGTTTAAACATATGTATGAAGGGGAATGATCTAAGGAAACATTGTTGATTCTTCCCTCTACATGTTTTAAACATGTGTATGAAGGGAAATGGTCTGAGGAGACATTTTGGTTGTTTACGGTCTGAGGAGACATGATTAGTAGTTTATGGTCTAAGGACACATTGTTAATTGTTTATGGTCCGAGGAGACAATTTTGATTTGTTGAACGGCAATTCATCAGAGAAAAAATCATCGCTAGTCAAATTTGCACTTCATTTGTCACAAGCTCTCAGCAGCTTGCAGACATTCTGACAAAGGTCGTCAACAAGATTGTGTTTGAGAATGCATTATCCAAGTTAGGTGTTTCAGATATCCACGCACCAACTTGAGGGGGAGGAGTGTTAGCAAATATGATAGCCACGATTTATGCAATGACTTAACGTATTAGCAGAGATTTAATTATGTTATAAAATATGCCATAGAATATGATGTGATTTGATTTAGATTTGATTTAATTTACTTTCTTGTAATATGAGTGTGTGCTCTTTTTATCTATAAATACTAAAGATGTGAATGAGTGAATATCTCATTCAAGCCTTTACACAATACTATCATTTTTCTTCTTTTTAAATTTCTACTAGCGATCTCTAGCAAGGAAGCTACAAAAGAAGAATCTCAAAATGAAAGAAGCTATGTTATTGTGGCGCTAACAAGAGCAATGGAGAACAATGAAGTGTTTTAACCTCTCACTAGCAGAAGTTTTGCAAGAATACAAATCTGATCATTGGTTGGTGTTTAAAGATTCGAGCACTAAAAATGGATTTCACTTTTATGATATGATTTGGAGTGAATTCTTGGAACACACTACAACTGCAAGGCGGTTGGTGGAAGAAAAATTGAAGGTGATTAAACTTCTCGTTCAAGATACGTGTTCCACCGAGTTTTGTAAATCTACCCAATTTCAAAGGAAATCTAGCAAAATCCATGTAATATTTGTTAATACAAGAAGATTATCGTATTTGATTCGAGTTCGGAAAAGAAGAAAGAGGGGATGGAACACCATGCTCAGATTTTTTATTGGTCGTGGAAATTTGCTTCTAACTCAAGGACGAGTTTTCTCTCACCTGGAGGGACTGATGCAGTGCAAATGGAAGAGGACTTTCTTCAAACAGTTAAAGATACTCAGAAGACTAGGTTAAGCCTCCATTAATAGGGGCAGCTGATGATGTGATGAGATTGTGTGATTGTTTATTGGTCTAGAGTCATTTATACAAGTCTTAAGACTGTTTTTATTTCATGTTTAGGATACTATTGTCTTTTTGGTTTTTATTTTATAAGCCATGTGCCTTTTAAAGACAGTCACGTGACAACTTAAGGACTGTTTTGTCATTTTAGCATTTTTTATTTAGCTGGATAGAATTATAGCTGTTAGATTGTATTTATATGAAGGGCTAGGACTAATTCCTTGCTAGGGCATCCCTTGTGTCTTATAAAAGGGTTGTTCCAAGTTGTATTCAACAGCTTTTTGACGTATTATCAACATTTTCAGTCTATTGTAGCAGCCTTTTACCTCTCCCTTTCTTTGGGATTGAGTTGTGGGTGTTTAGGCTATTTTTCTAGCTTGAATTAGCTCTCTGTTTTCCCTTCTTCAGATTTATTTCTTTTATTTCAGAGCTGACAAACTAAGTCTTCATCTTTCTTGCATATGCAACATCAATTTAATATAATCTGACCCCTTTCTCATATTATGTATAGTCAAAATCCTCCCTAGGACCATTGTTCAACAAATAAAGGCCATCTAAAGCGATGCCATACTGCCTTCCAAGGAAAGGAAGGCCCACGAACATCCATTAAGCTCCTATAGAAAGAAGTTCAAAGAACGCACCTCAAAAATCCCATGACTGGAATGATCACCCAAATTGAAAATCCCGAAACCACATCCCACTACCAAGATGATGGCAGTTGGCCACCAACTCCTCCTTGTCCATAGGCATCAGATAGTCTCGGAAAGATGGACTATCAATCTGGATAGGGGGGAATCCCACCCCACCCTAAAGTCTTAGATGTAACCCCTCTCCACGGCCCTCCCCATCAACCTACTAAGAGCCTCCATCACAAGAATGAATAGGAACAATGACAAAGCATCCCCCTGCCTCAACTCAACCCTGGTCAGCTGTCAAAGAAGCCCGATGGGGACCCATTAATCATATCCAACGCCTACAGGTTTCCCCAAATCCCATCCTCCAAGATATACAACAAGAAGCTCCAACTGACATAGTCATAAGCCATCTCCATATCCAACTTGCACACCACTCCTAACATCCCGCTAGGCAATCTAGAGTCCACACAATCGCTAGCAATCAAGAAAGAATCCAGAATTTGCCCCCCTCCAACAAAGGCATTCTGAGAATCTGAAGTCACCCTTTCAATGACTCCCCTCAAGCGTAATGCTAGGACTTTGGCAACAAGCTTGTACACACTCCCCACCAAGCTAATAGGCCTGAAGTCCTTTACATCAATAGAACCGCTCCCTTCTTGGGGATAAGGGCGATCAATGATGCAATCAGAATGGAAATGATGAAAGCCCACCATGTCCCCAATGCAACTATTAAGAGCTGACAGAACCTCCTCCTCCCCAAACGGCTCTCCAGCAACTCTCTGTTCACAGCTGAAATGTCATCAAATCCCAATCCATCTGACTGAGGCCTCCAACCCACTCCCTCTGAGTACAATCTCTAGTAGAAAGTAGAATCTCCCTGCGAATATCCTCCTTATTACATAACTCCTCTTCATTAAGACGAATTCTTCCAATGTGATTGCTCCTCCGGTGAGCATTAGCCATTCAGTGAAAGATTTATGTGTTCTTGTCTTCCTCCTTAAGCCACAAGGCTCTAGATTTTTTATGA